TATGACAATGGATCATCTTCACTGCCATCGGTGACTGCAACATTTGCTTCTCCATTTTCACGATAGCAGGTTGGCAATCTTATTTCCCTCCCACTGCGTCGTGGTGGCGGTGGTGTTTGATCATGTTCAGTGGTCTCCCTTCTTTGTCGTCCAACAACTGTTGTCAGCATGGGGCTAATCTGATCAGCCAGCAACTCTTTCAGAACTATCTTACTTCTAGGCTTGAAATCTGCCATATAGTTATGCTCAAGAAACGTAGCGTTTGTCGAGACAAACACTTTGTTATCCTGAGGACTATAAAACATACCTCCTCTTGTTCCTTTTGGATAGCCCACCAATATGCAGACTTTTGAGCGAGGTTCCAACTTCCCAGTCTTTCCCTTCAACACATGTGCTGGGCACCCCCATATGCGAATGTGTCTCAAACTAGGTTTACGACCATTCCACAACTCTAGGGGTGTTATGGGGATTGACTTAGATGGAACTAAGTTCAGAATGTATACTGCTATTTGTAATGCATATCCCCAGAATGAAGTGGGCAAAGAAGAATAACTTAACATTGATCTCATCATATCAAGTAAGGTACGGTTTCTTCTTTCAGCTACACCATTTTGTTGTGGTGTGCCAGGTGCTGTGAGCTGAGATATTATTCCATTTTCAATCAAATGGTCTTTGAATTCATAATCCAAGTACTCTCTTCCTCGATCTGATTGAAGAGTTTTGATCGATTTGCCTAGTTGCTTTTCAGCTTCGGCACGGAATTCTTTGAACTTTTCAAAGGTTTCGGATTTATTTTGCATCAGGTATGCATATCCGAATCTCAAATGATCATCAATAAATGTGACGAAGTATTCATAGCCTCCCCTCGCTTTGACATTCAAAGGACCACATACATCGGTATGTATGATTTTAAGGGGTGTCTTTGCTCTTTCACCCTTTGCTGAAAATGGCCTCTTGGTCATTTTTCCTTCTAGACAGGATTCACAAACCGGTAGAGTGCCAACCTTTAGCTCTCTCAAAGGACCATCCTTTGCTAGTCTTTCAATCATATCTATGTTTATATGACCTAGCCTTAGATGCCACAAGTATGTTTCATTTTCGTTAGAAACCTTTCTTCTTTTAGGGGTTGGTTCAGCGACTTTGAACATTTCAGTTTGTAGCATTTCGTTGAATATGGGTTTAATAAAGTAAAGACCATCATCAACAAAACCGGAACAAATATGAATTCCATTCTTAGATAAAGATACAGAGTCAATATCAAAAGAAACTGAAACAAATTGATCATGCAATCTAGAAACCGAAAGCAAATTCCGTTTGAAATTTGGAATAAAATAAACATTGTCTAACAATAAATATTTATCATTTACAAAAGACAGTAGCACTGTCCCTACTGCCGTCGCTGAGATCCTTGCCCCATTGCCCACTCTCATTTGGAAAGATCCCTCTTCAAGATCCCTGGACGTTTCTAGCATCTGCAAAGAAGTACAAACATGATTAGATGCCCTTGAATCAACTATCCAGGTAGAGAAGTCATTCTCAACTAAACATGTTTCCATGAC